TGTAGGACTCTCCTCTGTAAATCTGTAAGGACTGGTTAGGTCAAGGTCTGGATGCAGCCTCAAGGATACACAGCAAGACAATGCAAAATGAGTCTGGAGTGAGTGCCTATACACATGCAGGGCAGACATTTCCAAAGGCACTGTAACTTTTGCGTTTTACCTAAAGCACTGTAGGTACAGTGCCTTAACATTTGATAGACATTTCACAGTTTGCTGCAAGGTTCAGGCCTGCTTAAATTCTGTAGAGTAGGAGGCAGGGGGTGCCAGATACTGCAAAATCTTCATGACTGACTGCATTGCTTGTAGAGTGAGTGAGTGGAGTGAGTGAGTGATAAAAGCCATCTCCCATGGTATTAAAAAAAAGAAAGAGAATAAAATCAACCTTGTCAATCTTGTTTGTCATTTTCTCAACCACCCTCCTTGGGTGGTTGAGAAAATGACTTATAGGCTGGGGAACTCTTCTTGAAAGCACAGTGGCAGAAAGAGATCTTGGAGTCATTATTGATTCCAAGATGAACATGGGCTGCCCATGTGAGGACATGGTCAGTAGGGCTAACTGCACCTTGTTGTGCATCCACAGATGCATCACAAGCAGGGCCAAGGAGGTGATCCTCCCCCTCTATACAACACTGGTCAGGCCTCAGTTGGAGTACACAGTGCGTCCAGTTTTGGGTGCCGCACTTCAGGAGGGATGTGGACAGCATTGAGAGGGTCCAAAGGAGGGCCACTCGCATGATCTAGGGATAGCAGGGCAGACCCTATGAAGAGAGGCTATGAGACCTTAACCTGTTCAGCCTTCACAAGAGAAGGCTAAGAGGGGACCTGTTGGCCATCTATAAATTTACTAGGGGGGACCAGCGGGGAATGGGAGAGACCTTGTTCCCCTGAGCGCCTCCCGGAATAACAAGGAATAACGGACATAAGTTGTTAGAGTAGGTTCAGACTAGACATTAGAAGGCACTACTTCACAGTCAGGGTGGCTAGGATCTGGAACCAACTTCTAAGGGAAGTAGTGCTGGCTCCTACCTTGGGGATCTTTAGGAGTCCCACCTATGGGGAGAGCAGGGAACCCTAAGTTGGATGTTAGTGGGCAGCTGGCAGCCAGCTCAATCCATACAACCATAAACAGGGGTTCCCTAAGACCCCCAGCAGGCCTCTAAGATCCCATGCAC